TTGTTTTCAATGATAGGATTCATGCACAGTTTTATATCTTAGATGTCTGCACGCTGGTCTTCAACAGCGATGCATGTTTCATTTCTTGGTTCCTTGTGTGATTATCTTATGAGTTCCGGAAATGCAGTTTATGTAAGCAAAATTTGCCATAGAGGTTGACTGGCAAGCTTTTATCATCACTAATTACTAATTACGAAATGCCGTAAAGGATATGCCTCTGTTTCGGAGAAAATGATAACTATTATTGTCAAAGGCTAAAGCACTTCGAATGATTATACTTACTACATGAGTGAGGTTGTTAGTGGATCTATGATCTTTACCTATCTGTGCCTATTGGTTAACTTTCATTTTTTTGAGTTACCTGTTTTATTAGGTCATTACTCATTAGTAAAGAACATTACAAGAAAGGATCAGTTATCTTGCTTACTGCTTTGAGCTTACTGTCCAAGATTTCACAAGGTTTTTTATTAAATTTTGTTATGTTTATTCATTTTGAACTATTTGACATGTATGTACTAACGCTTGTTGTTCATTCTTTGTACATTACAGGTGACAGAACAAAGATGGGCAAGCATCGGGTGTCCAAGTGCAGTTGCCAGCTCGGCCTTCGTGCCGTTGTGATTTTCGGCCTTCGCACCGTTGGGATTGTCGGCCTTATAGCCGTTGGGATTGTCGGCCTTCGTGCCGTTGTTTCTTGCAGGTTGGAAACCTCCTCGTGCAGGGGAGGTGCTGTCGAAATTTTCAATTTTGAGTCTAACACATGTAATCTCTTCTCTTTTGTGCAGCCTCCATCGGTGGGTTCAAACAATCCTGCTACCGTGTCACCGGCGGCTGATCGCGTCAACCCTTCGCCGCAGTCCGGTCCTTCACCGCAGTTCGGGGGGCCACACCTGCAGTCTCCGTCGCCGTAGTAGGGATGTTGAATTTTGTGATGTTGAACTTGTAATAATAAACTTATGATGTTGAACTTTTGTGCATTTGTGATGGATTTTCGATAGATTTATTAAATATGCGTGTGCTTGTGATATATAATGCATGTTGGTGATATAGATGTGATGATTGATGTATATATATATATATTGTCTGTTATAATGGAATGTAAAAAAAATGCAATTCTCGGGGTCTTTGCCGAGTGCCACGGGCAAGGCACTCGGCAAAGATTTTTCAAAAAAAATATATATAATTTATTTGCCGAGTGCCTCGCCGCGCCACTCGGCAAAGTATTGTTTTTAAAAAAATTTAGAAATTCTTTGCCGAGTGCCTAAACAGGGGCACTCGGCAAAGAAATTATTTAAAAAAAAATAAAAAAAACTTTGCCGAGTGCCTGGGCAGGGGCACTCGGCAAAGTAATTTTTTTAAAAAAATAAAAAAACTTTGCCGAGTGCCTAGGCAGGGGCAATCGGCAAAGTACTTTTTTAAAAAAAATAAAAAAAACTTTGCCGAGTGCCTGGGCTGGGGCACTCGGCAAAGTAATTTTTTTAAAAAATAATTTTTTTTGCCGAGTGTTGGGTCGGGCACTCGGCAAAATAACCGTTAACGGTCGGCGCTGCAACGGCGGGAAATATTTTGCCGAGTGCCGCCCCAAGCACTCGGCAATTTTTTTTATTTTGCCGAGTGCCCCGATAAAAAGCACTCGGCAAAGACCCTTTGCCGAGAAAAATTTTGTCGAGCGGACTTTGCTGAGTGCTACACTCGACAAAGTCTTTGCCGAGTGCAAAGGGCTCTTTGCCGAGTGTAAAAACACTCGGCAAAGCCGCGGCCTCCAGTAGTGATGTGCATCATACATAAAAAAATTCTGACCATAGTTCTTTGCCCTCGCGCGTGAGGGCGCGCACCCTTCACTAGTCATAGAATTGCAAAGATAGTAGAAGATTGCCGATGGCAAAAAGTGACGGGTCGATTCCCGCCGCCGGCACGCGAATCAAGCCGAGAGAAACCACGTGGAGCAGATCCTGAGCTCTCCCGGACTTAGGAGGACACCGGACCGTATGGTCGTGACTTAGGGCGTGCCAGTCAATTTGACCCTGCAATTGATAAGGAGACAAGATTGATCAGTAATTTAAGGTGAAATATGCCGGTGTTTGTCCAGACAGTTCTAAATGTGCGGCTAAGTAACCGATGAGATAAGGCTATCGACTAGAGAGTCGATATCCAGCATGTTCATGATGCATGATAAGCAAAAAAAAACGAGCATATCAGCAATTGTCAGTTATTCAATTGTATAAATCGAAACAACCGATGATCATGAAAACATGCGAAAGGTGTAAAAAGTAGACGGGAAAGCATTGAATAAGAAACATACTAGCTTTTAACCAAGACAAAAATAAGTAAAAGCAAGTAAATAGCCAATATATTCTCAATGTGCGGGCTATCGGCTAAAATAGTCGATTCCGATGAAAGTAAACCCGTAACATGCAAACACTCAACCATTAAACGTGGATAAGTTCATACGCTCATCAGATCTAATCTACTATCTCTAACAGTGGGGTTCGAGCCAGACCGATGCAACCATGATAAAGATAACATGTTAAACCTTCAAAGAATACGAATCTATACACGCTCAACAGAATCGTGAAAACGTGCTACGATTGTGGAAGCACAGGCGATCGGCTAAATAGCCGATGCGAACATAGCATATAGCCAGAGACTATGTTTGACCATAAGCAAAACTTACTATTTAACGATTTCCGATCTATAGTGCTAACAATGGGGGTCGACCGGATCGATGGCAGCCATAATATCAGTTCTAGACCAGATTTCATCAACTAGCAAACTTTAACTAGGGTTAAATATGTCCTGACCACATGCTATCTTTGATCAAGATCGGCTAAGCTAACCGAGACCATCGTCAAAGCGAGATGTAAATAGGGAAAAGTAACAAGACAATGATTTGAAGAGATTTAAAGCCGATCCGTTTCAATTTTAATCGGGCAAGGGGTGATTTTGTTACAAATAGTAAGAAACTAAATATAATAAGACCGATAACTAGCAAATCTATTAAAAACAACAAGGGAATCTTACCGATGTTAATAGATTTAGTCGATAACTAATCTGTATCAAAATTTATATGAGATACCGGACCGATGCAGCCGTACAAATTTTGATAAGAATCGAGGGTAACTTGTATCAGTAATTGTAAGAGATACGAGCCGGACGGATGCAGTCTTACAATTAACTGACGATAACTAACTTATACCAAACTTGTAAGAGGTCCGACCTAACCGATGCAGCCTTACAAACAAAATATAAGTCGTGATGGATACTCACAGATAAACCGGATGTCGAACTTAACCGATGGCAGCCCTACTTGCCGAAGAACTCGCTGAAATATACTCTACTCCTACTCTAGGGGGTGGCGTAAGCTAAAAAGTAAAGGTACTAGTTTTTTATTGATCGCTGAGATGTCTACTACAATAGCCGGAGTTTAACATTTGTACCCAAGGCTTGACTATGAGTCGCAGTCGAATAAGATCGATCACAAAACTTGGAAAAGAAAGAAACATCCTAATTTATGATAACTTGGACTCCAAACTTCCCCTTCTTGTGGAATCCGTCATGTTTTCCTGCTCCCGATCAATGCCATTTTAGCTGCCGGAGTCTCCTTCGAGATGACGATGTTATTGAAATCCAGCTAACTCAAGAGCGTCTTGACCAGCCAATTCTTAACTCATCACGACTCTTTTCGGTGCACTCTGAATTATGGGTCTCATGCAACGAACTAAATTCCGGTGTCAACAAAGATGTAGGATGAGAGTCCATGACAAGGCAAGTGGGAATAATATGGACTAATAATGGATTTATCTTGATATGCAAAATTCTGCGTCCCTTTCGCCAAGACATTCTTAGGGCTTGTTCGGAATACGGGATTTTTTTTTTTCTGTTCCTATGTTTTTTTCTGTGAAATTGAACTGATTTATGTTGAAATTCCTACGTGATTCATGTGAAATTCCTGCGTTCCAAATAGTGCCTTGGGGCTTTTATTCTTACATTTATGAGTGTTAGTGCCCCGCAAAAATAAGTTGCATAAGAATGAAGCCAAAAGCTACTCCATGCAGGTGGTGTCGCACTCAAGTCCTATGCGACGAGGATTTTTTCCCTTGGTTCATGACCAAATTACATGCCTTCAATAGATGGATTGATCTATATGGGGAAATATTTAATCTAGAACCCTAGCAAACCCGAGTTGCTTTAACTTTTCGCGTTGCCGGAGCAGCTCTGCAATAACCATGCTGTGCCGGGCATCGGCAACATCGTACATATCGCAAAAAGCTCCAACAGCCCTGGATCATTACGTTGCATCTCCGACTTGCCGTCGTTTCCCTTGGCTCTCTGCCCGCCTCTAAGCACGTCGGCAACCTTCTTGGTCTCATCCCAACCGTCGTTGTTGATCTCAGTCACCCTTCTTTTTTTTTTCCCGCGTTTGATGCTAGCTGCTGCAGTCGTTGACAGTGGTGTCTTCTTCCCTTGGTTGTGTCGCCATTTCGTGCCCTCCTGGGTCGTGCGTTTGTGCTACTAATAATGCTCTAAGTCGATTCTCTACCCCGTTCTCCCCTACGCGCCTCTTCTTTTATAGCCAGCTTTATTTTACGCGTCACGTACAGGCCGACTCGACTTCCATATTCGTGCGTTTCCTCCTCTGAGTCGAGGCCCGAGTCCGATACGATACGATCTGAGGGCCCACGCAGGACCGTAGGGAGACGCAAGGACGACGCCCTTGCTCTCCCCCGTCGTGCCCGAAGCGAAGAGTACAGCAGCGCGGCCGCCGTGTCGCTCCGCTTGGTCGGCGAGCGCCGGTACTCCGTCTCCTGCACCCCGTCGACGAGGCGCGCAGAGGTCCGAGTAGAGCGTAACGTTGGCGCCTGAAAGGCACGGTCACGGAGGCGGTGGCGTCGCCGTCGAGGAAGATAGCGGGGAGCCGGAGCTCCACGACCTTGGGCAGGAGGTCGGAGACTCTGACGATGAGCCCCACGCGGGCGTCGGCGACCTGCTTGGCGATCTCTCTAGCGGTGTATAGTGGGTTGGTCATAGTTGCGTTGCGCGCGCCGCGCGAGTGCGGCGAAGGTGAAGGCGCTGCCGGTGACGGTGTCGACCAGCGCGTCGGCGTGGTGGAAGATGAGGTCGTTGAGGGAGAGGGAGAGAGCCGGGTCTGACGGGATGGCCACCACCGGGCGCATCGATCGGTACACGCCGTCCTCGCCGCAGCCCGCGGCCGGCACCTCCTTGCTCGCCATCGCCATTTTCCTCTTGCCCCGTCGGCCGCCGCGTCGACGTCCCTTGGCTGCGTCCAGGCTCTCGCTAGTGTAAATCGCTTGCCGTTCTGGATCGGTCCGCTTGCTGATGTATATGCATGAGCATACTGACCAACTACTCCAGTCCGTGCTAACTTCGTAGTAGCACCAAAACATTTCACGTGTCACTGTGTCGGAGATGAGAACATGTGAAAAACCATGCGATTTTGCCTCTGAGAACGTGCGAGGACCGAGGACAGGCTTGTATCAGATACTGAGAGTTGGTAAAATACGTTTCCTGGGCAAGTGAATGATCTCCAAGAAGAAAGTCTGCTATCAGAAAGGCTGAACTGTTGGAAATATAATATTTTGTTAAATATAAGCTCTTGGCTCCTGAATCCCTGAGTCTATACAATATCATAGGCTCGCACTGATCAATGTATAATCCATTAACTTCAAAATACGGATGCATGAAAAATAAGATATGATCCCAGAGTTCTTTTATATATGCACAAGGGTGACCGGGACTGTACAGGTAGAGACTAAGTTTACACTTCCTGCACAATGCGTGCAGAGAATTAGAGATATATATACATCGTGGAATCAATTTTGCTAACGTTTTGGCTCCGGACATCCTAGAATAAGTCCCACTGCCAATAGATCTTATCGACAATACCTCCACCGCTCCGCACAGCGACATGGAGGGTCTCTGATGCTGGAGGAACACCCCACAGCAATGGTACTGCGACAGACATGGTTAGCTTCTCCTGGAGGCCGTCATTGCTTGCCTTCTCTGCAGTGACAACCTGCTAATGCCCATTACAGCAAACTAAATATAATCAACTAATCATGCACTCAACTCCATGTTAATGCTAGCCTAAGCTAAATGTGTTCAAGGCACGAGGTGTGAGCATTTGAGCCCTGAGCTCAGTGCTGGCACAGCCTTACACAAAAATACCTCACCCCTAAGTTGGTTCATAATCATCATGTGAAAATAACCTATGGATAATAGAATTCGCACATATTCTGCTGCGGCCATATATGCTTAGAATTCGTCATTACGGCACTTCAGGATTTATCACTGCATGTGTACTGATGCATGGGTAGCATGGCCGTGTGCCAGAGGGACAAGATTGGAAATCCTGCAAATGCGCTTAGGGTGGCAAATTCCTAAATATTTTCAAGTCATTTCGTAGAATCAGGTGAAAATTATGTTAAGGTCGCAGTTAAACCTTCCACAAAAACTTTGTTTAGCTTGCTACTTGTGAATGGTTAAACTTCAAAAGCACTTAAGTTACGTAAAAAAAAAGCACTTAAGTCAATTGGCTAGATCACTGTTACATGCAAAATATCGATGTATGTGCAACATTTCTATATTATTAAATCCACCTTTTATTCTTATCGATGAAACTTTATGGTGTTTTTCTACCATGCTTGGTGTGGTGTGCCTCATTACTCAGGTACTGTCTTTTCACTGGCAAAGCAGTCTACTTTCAGTAATCGTCGACCATATACTGCTCTTATTTTTTTCTCTCAAAATATTAAGGGAAGATCAAGGCACACCATTTAGTTCCTCAAACTAAAGATTCTTGCACATGTATAGTTCACCAAATAGCAAAACATACCTCACCACCATGCTCCAATACTGTATCTTCCACTACATCGCTTAACATTTCAATAGAACGGCAAAAGCCAAAGATGCATAATCTTCTGCCCATGTCTAGGCCCTGAGATATCAAATGGTATTACTAAAAGGAAGTGTAAATATGGTAAGCAAGTAAGAAGTAGCAAATATTTTACGTTTGTTGCTGCTATGTTAAATAGTGCTCCAAGGCAAAGACTTTGATTTGGATCCATGTAAGAGCTCTCCTGAAACCGGCGCAACTTTTGTCCACTCTTCAGTTTCCGTTGCCTCTTCTGAAAAAAAAAAGTGACAAGAGAAGAGAAATCTAGAACGTCGATGAGGACAAAGTAAAACTAACAGCTTTGGCAAGTATTATGCAAGCCATACTTAATGATACAATAATGCAAGAACTACTCATATAAAGTGCCACAGAGTTTGTTGATATGATATTTCTGGACATAGCATCAGCAGGCATTGCTATAAGGTGAAGAATCTTTCATATTAGTAAGATGCAGCTAGAGATGCGTGCAATTAGAGAAACTTCTTAAAATGCATTTACGTAAAAATGGCTGTCATACTTGTTACCAATTCTGCAATCTATGCACACATCTTTTGTACAATTCATAAGGGAATTTTTTTTGTGGATTTGTGAAATGGATTCGTAATGTGTATTTTCTGCGACAGTTGACACAATAGGTATAGCCGTCTGAAATTTACTCTTCCTTTTTCTGAGACAAACCTTAGGTATCCATAGTCATTAGTTCATTAGATACTTGAGAGCTCTTGCAAATAAGGTGCATTGCAACCTGTGAAGGTGGGCTGGTGCTTACCGTAGTATGTGAGAATGTAAATGTTGAATATATCTATAATTAAAGTTGTATTTCTCTTTCATACGTTTTTGTTGCATCCAAATAGAGATTTGAGTTGAAGCAGGCATTCAGATGTTTTATAGCAAGAGGCACAAAACAACTACAGCTACAATCAATTTACTGCTGTTCAGTACGATGCACAAAGCTTTCTAGTTCTTTTTTTGAGAAATGGAGCTTTGTAATTACTAGTCAGCTATTAAGGCTCAAGGGATTTATGTATTCGAATATTATACTGACAAATCATCTCAGCCAAAACTGCATTCGGGGATGTGCAGATTGCAAAGATTCAGTACCTCAGAAGCACTAACTCGACGAGGAACCAGGGAACCCCCAATTTGGATCAGGCCATCAGAGGTGAACAGCGTTACTCTGTCTTCTGGCACCCACTGAACGTCTGCTAGGACACACAAATCGGGACTTTTAGACGGTATCGAAACTGTGCGCAGAAGAGGAAAAAGAAACACTTTCGAAAAGCAAACTAAAATCTCTAAAATATTGATCCCATTATCTGTCTCATTAGCTTTCCGCAAAGCAGAAGATAGCAATCGTTGCCTCAATCAAAGCAATCTTATTGAAGTCTCAACCCGCAGCAAATGATCCAGCACAACATCGCATAAATTAGCGAAAGGTGAATCTAACCCCGTCGATTGCAACCGAAGCATCGGGGGCAGCAACCGAGACCCGAGAGTCCGCTGGCGAACTTACCGAACCCAGTGGTGAGATCCAAGGGCTGGTCCCATGGATAGGGCCCGTAGAGGTCCTCCGGATCGTCCTTCCCCGCCCGAGCACGCAACCGGTGGAGCGAGCGCGATCCGAGCTGGGAGCGGGCTCTGGTCCTGGCGTGGAGCGGGGACGAGAGGGGCCTCCTGGACGCCAGCGAGCGGGGGAGGGAGGTGGAGAGCGCGGCTGAATCGGCCATGGGAATGGTGCGCGAGACGGGTCGGAAGAAGATGCAGCGGCAGCGAGGAGCGCAGGTGATCGTGGATGAAGGGCGGCGCGCTCGTCTCTTTTTCCTGTGGTGGCCGTCGATTCCCGAGAGGTGGTGGACTTCTTCATTTTGGCCGGTGCCTGCTGCCTCTGATTGGCCGTGCGTCGTCTTCTCTTTCTTGTTCCGGTGGCGTTGGTGTCCACAACAAGGCACGTTGGATCTCGGACGTTGGCTGGTCGCTCGTTGATGAGACCAAGGGGCCAGATTCCTTTGTCGGGTTGGACGATGACGATGAGCAAGCTGGTTTCTGGAACTGGGAGGATGAATATTCACCGGTGCTCGGAAATGGATATGGTGGTTTGTTTTCGACCACCAAATCGGGGGTGGACTTGGCTGTCGTATGATCAACCCTCGGTCGGTATACACGAGTAACAATGCAAGTGGGTATATTCCTGACTTACTCCTAAGGGCGTGTTTAGACAAAGCCCTCAAAGCCCTCCCAAGCAGCTCCATACCGAGATAGAGATCAGAAACCCTAGGCGTCCAAAATCGAAAAACCAAACATGCCTTAAATCACTTCTATCCCATCTATTAGTTGGTTCTGCTTGGTTTTACTTGTTACAAACATAACGATTTTGATCATCACTTTTTTTACACAAAAATTTTAGATACCTGGATTTTTGAAATTTCATGATTTATATAATATACTTTTTGGTATTATATGTATTTTTTTCAAGACCATCGTAAGTATTTCATTAAGTGGATATATCTTTTTTTTTTCGTAAGTGAAAATTTATGAAAACCTAATGGGATGTCTTGGGACTGCTCCACTTCATGTTTTTCAGCTCTGCTCCATATTTTTAGCCAAATTGTTTAGCTCCACGCACTATGCTCTAGAGAAAAAAATCATAGTTGTGAGAACACCTAAATGGGGTTGTGGAGTTCTCTATGATGGAGTTTGTAAGTGCAATCAAGCCTTAATTATGGGTTTTGGTGATAATGACCATGCAATGAGAGTATTAATAAGATTTATCGAGACGATAAGTAGAAGATTCATAAATGAGGATGTTATACATAACTGAGGAGCCCCAAATTACAAAGATGACGGCATCGAGCACAAAGGAGGTTTATTTCATTTTATATTTTGAATTTGAGTATAGAAAAAGCCATACTATAAAGTGGATATAATGCTTAAGCCAATCTGTGCAACCAAGTGCTCAATCTTACACAAAATCATCCTTAATTTCAGCCAAGACAGTCATCTCAACACTTCTTTATCCTTTGTTGTTTGGCTTGGTGAGGTATTTATACCTCTCCCTCACCCTCACAAAAGTACTCTTCTTCCCCAACTGTTTAGACCAACGTCAACAACTATGAGTTCATTCTCTCTTTTCTTTATTGGTGCCTAAAGCTCTCAAGCTTTTCCTTTTAATTTCCCATCAATACTTGAGAGAAAAAGGCTCCAAACTCGATTAGTTAGAGATCCACTTGTTCCTCAACTCAAAAGAGCACTTGGTTTCACGTTTTTGTCGACGGTTGTATTTGTTACTTTTGGAGCTTGGCTCCTAGCCGGCTAGAAAGTCGTCCGTGGAGCTTGCCAATTTGTATGGCAGTCCTGAGAGGTTTGTAACCATATCTTGAAACTAGTAAACTCACCCCTCATTTCAAGAGCTGAATCTCTTGATTTGAGAACGAGGAAGGTTGCAAAGCCCTAAGCCTTAGTGGCTAACCTTAACAACATGAATTTAGGCAAGTCTTGATAGCGAGCTGAACCACGAAATAAATCAACGTGTCACCTTGTGCTTGATTTACTTTCTTGTCATTTATATTGTTATTGAGGTGATTTTAGGGTTTGGTGTCGATCTACTTGTATGTGCTTCTCCTACATCTTCTAGTTGTCGATCGGTGAACTATATCTCTACAGGAAGCATCTCAATCTAAGTTTCGTTTTATGGATTTTGAACTATGGTTCGAAGTTGTTTGTAGATACGGTAGTGCCACGAGTTATGAGCGGTAGTGCTGCGGATTGATTTTGACGTTTGCTCAAGTTTTATTTAAACAAGCCTATTCATCCCATCTAGGCTAACTAGATCCTACAAAGTTTGTGGAGCAAAGTTTGTAGATCAACCCAAACACCTTCTAAGTAACATCTTTACAAGAGAGTGAAATAACCCACCCTGAAAATAGCAAGCAAATAAAGTTTGGCACTTCCTAGACCTAATCGCATTAAGAGGATATATCTACAATCTTATTTAAAAGAGAACAGATGTTCAAATGCTACCGTTCAAATGGTACCGTGAATCCAGAAGATAAAAGGTGATACTTGAATACTATTTTTAATACAGATGTTAATTGATCATAGATCAGTTGGTTGAGTTTCTTATGGTGGAATATCCGGGATGACTTGGCGAGGTGTTGGTATTTTTTAGAGGATTTCTTATGATGAAAACTCTTAACCATTCCCGGTATTTTTTTAAGTTTTCGACAGGAGCGGAAGGCGACGGGAAAACGAATCCGGTATTACTCGATATCGGGAGCGGAATTTTCTAAATTTATTAACACAAAAGCGGAAACAGGATTATGTAACCACGAACGCTGAGCTCGATGCAACAATAGCAATCATGCATAATCCATATGCAAACAATAGCAACGGGTGCTCGAGAATATTTATGCAAAGAAAATACAGAATACCAAAAAAAGAAAATGAAAAAAAAAAATGAACAAAGGCCAAACCTTGCTGCTCCTGTGCTCCATGCGTGAAGCGCCAAGCAACGATGGGCAAGATGAATGACTCGTCGACTCCTTTGTTCCGAAGCGGTATCCCGGGCCTATGGATGAAGCGTTAAGCGATGATTTTCATTTCAGGATTTTACAGCCAACTACGTTGGAAACAATGAACAAAAGAAAATGGAAAAAAAATGGAGTCGGGCCAAGCATGAAAGCGATGGAACGTTGGGCGTTTGCGGGCCTTGAAAACGAATTTGAATTTTCCCGAACAAATACGGGATCCGCTAATTCGGTCGGGAAATCACTCTAGCAACCGTTTTTCGACACCCAGCCAGTATTTTTCCGGATTTCTTCCCGAATCTCCGTTTTTTCCCGAAAGCGATATTCGGTCGGGAATTTCGTGATTCGGTGTTCTTCGTGAATTTCGTTCCCGCTTTCAGATCAAACTTTGGAAAAGGAATTTAAGAGTTGCTATTATATTACGTATTATTAAAATAAAAGAATTTAAGACTGGGACTGGCCTGGGGTGGCCCACGACGTCAACAGCGTTGCTAATGAGAGAATCTCCAAAGCCGAATTTAAGAGTTGCTATTTACTACGTATTATTAAAATAAAAGAATTTAGGACTGGGACTGCCTGGGGCGGCCCACGACGAGCGTTGTATGAGAGCCCCAAAGCCGTTAAGCTTACCCGTCCGGGCCTCGCCGGAATGGAACCGGGCCTCTTCTCAGCAGCCTTCCAGTTATGTGCTGCCCAATTTCGTCTGGGTCTCTCGGCTCCCAGCTTCTCCGTGGCGCAAGCGCGGCGATATCCGATAAACCCCGCCTACAGCTGCAGCAACTCTGCGACAGCGAAGCACCCGCCCGCCCGCCCGCGCCCCTGCCCATGGCCCTCGCCACCGCTGCCGTCTCCCTCCACCCTTTCCTCACCCGGCCAGCCTCCGTGTTCCGCGTAGGGCTCCGCTTCCCACCCCTCCTCCTCCGCGCCACTTCGTCCACCTCCACCTCCGCCTCCCCGGACTTCAACATCACCTTCGTTGAGCCCGCGCCGTCCAAAAAGGCCCCGTCCGCGCAGCCGCTGGTCCCGTGGATCGTCCGCGGGGAGGACGGCAGGCCCCGCCTCAGCACCTCCCCGCCGCCGGACGTGCTTCAGGCCATCGCACTCGCAGAGGCGGAGGGCCGCCAAGAAGGAAACCCTCAAGGGCCAAAAAGGCGCGGTTGCTGCCGCCGCCGCGGCTGCTTCCATTGCCAGCGTCAAGGCACGGAAGGCCGCCCCGACCGCGCCGCCCAAGTTCTCCAAGGCTGCCAGGAGGTTTTACAATGAGAATATCAAGGAGCGGGAGCCGCAGCGGCTCGCCAAGGTCCTTGCTGCCGCAGGAGGTAGTCCTTGTCCTATGTATTTCTGGACTTCAAGCATTCGAATCAAGTAGTAATAACTTAACGTTCCTCATCTTAGATCAGAATAGTTAGAGACGGAGGCTTTTGGTATTGATTCTAGTGGTATATCAGCTGTTGTTAGTTTGTGGAGATAACCATGCTTGTATGATACTATGATTATCTTCTAGGTTCTACTAGCACCGAGCATTTTTGGCCAAATGAACTACACTAAAAACCCCATATTGTTCTCCTTCGGAAGCAGATAGCTTTCCCAAAATTGGCGGCTTCTATTATATACTTGGCTTGTTTGCTCCTGATACCTTCAGTAGTTTGGGTTGCTAATATTGGGGAGGTTGGATTTTCTTTAGTTCCTTTCGAGTAACTCTAGAAATATAACACTTCACTCTTCAAAACTTTTGGTTTTGATTACCATTGTCTGTTAAGATGCTTACTAAACGACTCTTCCCAGTGGCATCAAGAAGGACCAGTGAGGAGCTCATCTTCCAAGGGAAGGTGACTGTCAATGGTTCAGTCTGTACTTCTCCTCAGGTATGAATTCTCAGAGTTTTTGTCTTCCATGAATGAGAAGATACTAGTTTTGGTACCATAATATTTTACTTTCATAGTAATGTTGTTGCCACATCCAAATTTGTTCTCTGTTGGTCTTAGAGCAACAATTGTTTGGTCCAAGAACACTTGAACCGTTTTATATGACTTGATTTTTTACCAAACTTTTTCCATTGCATTACACTATGAAGAAAACTTCGTTTCTGTGGTTAAATCAAAGGATAAAAAAATTCATTTTGTGCAGACCAAAGTTGACATCTCAAAGGATTCTATCTACGTTAATGGGAATCGCATTTCCAAGAAGCTGCCTCTGAAGCTGTATTTTTCTGTTAACAAGCCAAAGGGGTTGGTCTCTTATTTTCCATACTTGACTTATGTGCTGCATCATCAATGGTGTAGGCGTGTAGCCAAGGACTGGGCTTCATGTGTTTCAGCCGTGGCTCTTGGTCTACAAGTCCATGGAAGCTCACTTAACTGTATATAGAAATATCATAGTCATAAGGGACTTTAGGCATATTTGAACTGGCTCAGCCTGGGACTCAGGTCATTTCTGACACCATCCTTGTGCATTAATCATGATGCCATGATTATCTTGTATTCCAGTGAAATAATTTTGAATCAGAGAAAAGGAATCATCAATCTAATAAATTTTGTTTCTGTGCTACAGGTACATTTGCTCATGTGGCGAAGACTCAAAGTCTGTTGTCTCCTTATTTAATGATTATTTGAAGGGCTGGGTATGTTCCATAACAGGGCCTCACATAACGTTCATATTATAATGATGTTAATGGAATTCACAAGAATTGATGAATTGCTGAACCTTTTCTGACTATGAATCTATATTGGGCAAATCTCTATTATACCTATGCATATTTACAGAACAAGATTCAACCAGGGCTGCCAAAACCACGCTTGTTTACTGTGGGTCGTCTTGATGTTGCCACGTCTGGTTTGATAATAGTCACAAATGATGGTAAGTTTATCATACTTGGTAATATGTACTCCCTCCGTTCAAACAGTAAGTCACTTTGGCTTTTCTAGGTACATAACTTTTGCTATGTACCTAGAACATAGTAAAAGCTACTCCCTCCAATCCAATTTATATGTCGTTTTGGCTTTTCTAGATACATAACTTTTATTACGTATCTAGACATATCGTATATCTATGTGCATAACAAAACCAGTGTACCTAGAAAAGCCAAAACGACGTATAATTTGGGACAGAGAGTGGTATGTATCTAGAAAAGCTAGAAGAAATTGGAAAAGGGCAGTTTTTTGTCACCCAAGACTTATGCTTGATTTTTGCCCTCTCTTTTAGGTGAGTTTGCTCAAAAACTTGCACATCCTTCTTCAAATGTAACGAAAGAGTAAGTTTAGTGTCTTTGGCAGGTTTATATGTTATCCGAATACTGTAATGCAAAAGTAACATGTACCGGAACAGTATCATTCATTATTATGCAGAATTTGGTGGCACAAATATTTAGTAACGTCTCTTCTACCATATAATATGAGAACTATGAAAGAAGACCATTAGAATAGCATCAATATACAAATCTTCTCCGTGCATGGTTTTCCAATTATAAATCATTTTTAAAATGGTTGCTGGGCAATGAACAGTAGGGAAAGGGAACATAAATTTGATCTGACAGGTTTGTGTTTTTTCGATGCTGCAGATATGTGGTAACTATTGATGGTACCGTGCACAAAAAACACCTCATAGCTATCAGTGAAGGCACAAAAATTGATGGGGTCATGTGCATTCCTGATTTAGTAGAACCATTGGATGCCCAATCAGATACAAGAAAGACCCGCCTGAAGATAGTGGTATTTTTTTCTAGCTTCATTTATTCTGTCCTGTTCCTCTTTGCTTTTGGATTCACTTATTCACGTAAGCAATGTGGCTGTTATTTGTCCTCAGGACTATTAAAAAAATAGGTGATTTTGTTTGTCCTCTTACTCTTTATCGGTTGTTGTATATCCACTATAGCCACATGAAAGCTCTTTTGAATAGTATCCTGTGGGAATGGTTGCATATTAGTTGGTACTTTATAACCTTCCAAAGTGCTTGGCAAACATTTGAAGTCCATCACAACGTGTGGCAAGCAAGTACTTCCATGGATAATTTGTTTCGAATTAACATAAATTCCAATCTGCTTCAGTTACCTTCTGCAATATTTGAAACTATCCTGGCCTGCGTAAATAGAACATGCTGCTGTTGTTAAAGAAACCTCTGTTTCAACTTATTCACAATTGGAAAAGGCACGATTGCCTGTGAAGAACTAATGTTGGAACCTTTTTCTTGCATTATTATATTTCAAAGCCTGGTGGAATCGACATATTGCCATATCGTTGCAATGTAAAAAAGGGTGCAATAACTACATTTTGTTATATTACAGCATTTATGTCGGATATCTATACCTAGGTATCTGAGCCAACGGATTAATGAGCGTCACGTCGGCTCATCCGATGGTCAAGGACGCAACTGCAGCCTCGTCCGACCCCCAGGGGCTGGGCCACGCCTCGTCCGACTCCGAGGACGAGGTTTCCGCCTCGTCCGACCCCAAGGCGTGGGATCCGACTCCGAGGACGAGGTTTCCGCCTCATCCGACCCCAAGGCGTAGGCTCCGACTCCTCCGACCCCAGGGTGCAGGCTCCGACTCGTCCGGTCCCATGGGGAGGGCTCCGCCTCATCCGACCCCTGAGGGTCGGATTCCGTCTCGCCCGGCCCCCAGGGTGAGATTTCCGCCTCGCCCGTTCCCTGGGGGTCGGATTTGCTACCGGACAAAAGCAGTGGCCCCAGGGTGGGACCCGAACCGCTTCAACCACTACGGCGTGGAGGAGCACGGACGGGAGTGTTAGGAGTGAATGAACTCAATGCATTACGGTGGGCTTCAGCCCAAACATGTACATGGGCAAATATGCATAGAAGCCCTTACACAAAGAGGAAATAGCAAAGACACCTATACATCTATATCTAAACACCCCCCTCAAACTCGGGGTGGATCACAGCGAGTTTGGAGAGAAAAAAACTATGTTGAGCTCTTAACTTTGTGAAGAAATCTGAAGCTCAAGAAGGCACATAGCGAAGAGTAATGACATCATCCGCACTTGTGCCGAGTGTAAGACGATCAACACCGATATGCTTGGTGAGGTACCGGATCATGAGCTATCTTGATAGCACCGGTCTTTGTCGAGACAAGAGAGGAGTTGGCCTAAACTGAAACACCAAAATCCTCAATTAGCCATCGCAACCAAGTAACCTCTGCATGTCATGAAGAGCCATAGCTCATAACTCAAATTCTCTCTGACTCGAGAGAAACATGATGCGCTTCTTAGTCTTCCAAGCAATTAGAGAACCACCGAGAAAAACACAATACAATAAAATTTGAAAAAAGAGAGCGACGATCGGAAGAGTCGCTAGCCCAAGTAGCATCGGAGTAGGCTTGGAGTTGAAAAGAGCTAGGCGTGGGAAGACAGACGACGAGTCGCGAAGGTAGCGCAAGACACGAAGAAGATGACTATAGTGGAGGTGAGTGGGAGCGGAAACAAAGCCGACTAAGAATGTTGACATATGAAATGTCGGGACGAGTCACACCTAAATAGACAAGACTCCCAACAATATGGCGATATCGAGTGGGATCGGTGAGAGGTTCACCATCATGCGAAGATGAAGATGAAGCTCTATGGGAGTCTCAACGGTCACGATGATCGGTGAGGAAGAAACGATCAAGAAGATCTTGAATGTACTTTTCTTGGGGGGATGATAAATGCCATCGAGGTTGAAGAGACCTCAATCCCAAGAAAGTAACGAAGAGGGCCAAGATCGGACATTCCCCCACCGAGACGTGCCTTCACAAATGCAATATACTCAGAATCATCACAAAGTGATGAGCATATCATCAACATAAAGAAGAAGAAGAGTGCGCCACGAGATGAATTATGAACAAACAAGGCGGGGTCATGAGCACTCGGAGAAAAACCAACGGTGTGATCATAGAGGAAAAAGCTGAAACCAAGCGCGAGGAGCTTGTTTGGATCCATAAAGAGAGCGGCGAAGGCGACAAACGTTGCCATCGGGAACAAGATACCCGGAGGTGGTCGCATGTAGACCTCCTCATGGAGTTCACCATTAAGAAAAGCATTTTTGACATCGAGTTGAGAAATGGACCAGCAGCGAGCAGAACGACAAGGAGAGTGCGAATAGTGGTCATGTGAGCCACAGGAGCAAAAAGTCTCATCATAGTCACGACCATGCTCCTCTTGAAAACCACACGAAACAAAGCCGGGCCTTTATACTTCGAGAGAGCCATCGGCGAGTCTTAATCTTATAAACCCACTTACACGTGATGGGGACGAGCATGAGAAGGAAGAGGAACAAGATCCCAAGTGTCGCTCTAGAGCGACAATCTCTCACCATGGCATGTTGCCATTACGGATGACAAATGGCATCATGGTATGTGGCGGCTCAGAAAGAACGGTGCCCGACAAAACCATACCGGTTTGTAGGCTTTAGCGATCCACGATCACGAAGATCATAACGAGAGGATGGTTGAGGAAATATCAGAACATGAAGATGTCTCAATGGGAGGTGAAACATCGAGACGCCTCAACAGGAGGCGAGGGATTCTGGAGGCGACGACTGTAGGTGTGAATCACAGGGGGTTTGGAATCATAAATGGACCTAAAAGGAACATGTGAAGGCGGCTGAGAAGGCGGCGAAGGAGAGGGTGCAAGAGGAGATGGTGGAGGAGGAAGAAACACAGTGGAGATAGGTGTATCAGGAAAGATCAAGAAGGAAAGAGGCTCAACAAGCGGTGCTGGGAGAAACATCGAGGTAGGTCGAGGATAGAATGAGCGACCCTTAGTCCCTACTCGAGAAATGCCTTGTTATAGTCCCCAACGATATTTTGTTTGGCACATACTAGAAAACACACTTCTATTGAGATGTCAAGTTGTTCTTTAGCAAAGCCAAAAATAGACTGAGTAATCTGGTGAAGAAATGAGGCGCTATATGGGATTCCGCCTTGAAGAGCGGATGAATGAATGTTAGTTAAAAAATTTTCTATTGCCCAAAAAATGAGGTGAGAGGAAGCAATTATTGACTTTTTTCAGGTCCATGAAGCCAATAACGAAATCATGAAGAGACAAGTGAGAAAACCTGTAGAAGAATGCGAAAGCGCGAGAGAGGTTGGTTTGTTTTTGTCAAACACGAAAAAATTAATAGGAGTGTCAAATTGAGTAGTTAATCATTGCAAATATCTTATATAGATAACACCTCATTTATTTTACAGAAATACCCATGTGAAGCGAGAGAAATCATCTATAAATATTATATTAGATCTTGGTTTGAGATGGCGGAATGAACAAGGTCAAAATGTTGATTTTGGATATGGAAGTTGTTTTCCAAGCTTACTGTTGGAATCTAAAGAAACATTACGGAGAAACATTCCCCAAAAGACCCTGATGAGTGGACATTGAACCACATAAATGTCCCAATCGATGATGCCATCGAGTAAAAGATGATGGCCTGAAGGTGATGGGGCGGCACACTGCGATCAATTCAAAAATCTGAGAATCACAAATAAGCGATACCAACAGGAGACCCGTCTTTGAGATCTTTACGACAAGAGTCGAGAATTCCGACAACCATGATAGTGTTTGCCAATGAAATAAGTTGCATGGTCAAATTAGGGACATATGAAAACAGTAGGAACATGAAAAGAGGAGGACAAAGAGTGCCATGTCCAAGGAGAGTTGAACATTTTGTGCTATTGTATTTCCGAATTGATATGTAAATGATGTACAATTAGAGGTCATGTGAAAAGAAGCACTTGAGAATCCATAAGTACCTAAAGTGAGCGGTGCATTGAAAGAAGATTTGGGATAGGCAGGTTCAGAACTAGCAACTCCGGCAGATCTGGGGTAATGCAACATAAGTATCTGTGTAACGTTGTTTTTTCCTTGAATGGTGACTGTACCATCGGCGTGAATGAGCCTTCTCCTTGACAATAATCTTCAACATGTCCATCTTTTTCACTTTTGAGTTGAATGAAGTCCACAATTACTACCACTCCCATAGGACATTTAGCTGGTGTTTAGGGGGAAATGCCCTTTTAGGCCTTTTGCAAAGCAAGCTAGCAGCGAAGACGGATCTCTTCATTGGACTATTTTATGGGCTAGTAAAACGAAGAGCAATCTATTTCGAAGAGAAAGATGAGAAAAATCGTAGATTTGATGTGGCTTATGCTTCAAAAGAGACTCAATTTGTGTAAGGATCTGTGTCAAGCTCACGCCACACATATGATGTTAAAGAACTCCTCAATTGTAGCATCACCTCATTGCAACAATCGCTGCCTTGGCGTAAAAGAGCAAGGTATATAAACACCAGAGGGCTCATATGGGTGAAAAGCCCACATGTCGAGAAGCATAGTCAAGCATGCATATCATCCATTGTTAGTCACGAGCATCCTCATCCAACCAAGTTATACAATCGAGACATGTAGAGGCCATATCATCATTATATTCATCATGCAATTTCTTCTTATCACTGCTTATTTTTTTGGGTAAAGGTCAACGGCAGTTCATGTGAGAAAATCCCAAACAAAGCATATGAAGATTGAGAAACCCAAACACGATAATTAGTGCCATTATTAGTTTATTCTGTACGGTTGAGGATTTTAGCCATCCTGAGGCAAAAGTTTGTTGAGCTCAAACTGCTCCAAGCTGACAAAAGGCACTAGAAGGCAACAAGTAGAGATGACACGAGTTCTTTTGATGACGACATTGGAATTAATGTGGATAAGCACATCTTCGTCCAAAGATGGCAGCAGTCCTTCTGAGAAGGGCAACACATGAGCTGCTACTGCCACGGCAACTCAGAATGCATGTGAATGTTCTGGATGTCCATTACGGACGGTGGTGTGGCTGGCGCTGATGGGCGGAGGAGCAAAGCAGGGCACGTACTTTTGCCTTGAAGAAGCGGCGAGGTAAACCTAGACACCGGCTCTGGATACCATGTTAGGAGTGAATGAACTCAATGCATTACGGTGGGCTTCTGCCCAAACATGTACATGGGCAAATATGCATAGAAGCCCTTACACAAAGAGGAAATAGCAAAGACACCTATACATCTATATCTCAGGAGCACGTCCACGATGCAGCGGTCACATCGCCGTTTGGAGACTCACGTCGATGAAACATTGTCAGCACTATGTTGCCAACTCCTGATGTCCTGAACGCCATATCTTTGTATATATCAATGTAAATCGCCATGTTTGGCCTGTGCGAGGACCCTTTGATGAAACCATTCGAGATGGGATGGAAGACAGTTAGACAACAATAATTGATGGCAGACGAGTGCGACACCGTTGCCACCACGATCTATATTTGGACCACGAAGAAAGGAGGATGGTAGCTTGTTTATTTCTCTTTTTTTTCCCTCTTCTTTCTCTGACCAGTAATTTGTTCTTCCTTGGTTATAAAAAAAACCCGAGAGAGAGAGATTTATTCCGATAGAAGCATTAGAAACATCGAGCAATCGAACCCACAGAGACTTGGAGCTCTTCCTCTCCGCTAGTTTGTAACCCTTACTACAAAGGAAAGACTTTGGTAAAGAGTAGCCCAAAAGCTGGGCGTAGGGACGGCCCGAACCCGGTATAATCATTGTGTCCTCTTAGCACACCATACGGGTCAGACACGTAATATACAAATTTACTCGTTGCACCGACAATTTATATTTCACTTCTTCACTGTCACGGTATTTTCATATATGAGGAAGTGCAATTACATTTCACATGCTTGTTGGTTGAGGAATCAAGCATGTAGTTATTCAGCCTGTTCGCTTGTTGGTTTCAGCCAGGGCTTATCAGCCAGCCAACAGTGTTTTCCTCTCACAACAAACCAGCATCAACCGGACTTATCAGCCCAGAAACCAACCAGCGAGCAGGCCGATTGCAATTCCCTCTCTACCCTTAGTCCCTACTCTAATGCCTTGTTATAGTCCCTTTTTTGTTGGCCATACTAGTAGCATTCTAACATGTCAAGTTGTTCTTTAGTTGCTGCAAATAGACTTGACGGAAGAAATGTTCTAAACATGCTAAGCATTGTGTGTTATTTTCTATTGCCCGTTGATATTATTGACTTCTTTCAGGTCCATGAAGGACGAAATCATGAAGTCCGTGAACTTGTACAGAATGCAGGGCTGCAGGTTGGTTTGTTTTTGTCCACCTGTTCTTATGTAGTTTATTGCCCATTCCTAGATGACATTTTATTTTACAGAATAAGTTGGTTACTATTTTATTTAGATCTTGGTTTGAGATGGCAGCATAATGTTGATTTTGCCTTCTGTTTTCCACTTTACTGTTGGAATGGGAACCGGAGATACCTGATGACCACATTGCCTCCATCGTACACATATCTGTAACACATGATGGCCTGATGGTGATGGGCGCCACACACTGCTATTCACTAATCTATACAAATAAGCCACTGCTCTTTATCTATTCCTCACATAGTTTGTCTGGCACTGTATGCTTGGACACGATAGAATGCAAATTTGTGAGCCAAATAACATTTTGTGCTATTGTATTTCCCTTGGTATGTAAATGATGCTTAATTTTCCTTGATGATAGGTTTATGCATTGAAACGTGTTCGGATAGGCAGGTTCAGGCTTCCGGCAGATCTGGGGTAATGTACTTTCTGTAACGTTGTTTTTTTCCTTGAATGGTGACTGTATCATTGTGTTTGACTGATACTATAACTTTTTGCATGGATTGATACAATTCTACTCTCAATTTAGCTGCTTTACAAAATGCCCTTTTAGGCTAACTTTTTCTGCCTTTTGGACTATTTTATGGGAAAATTGAGCAATCTATTTCAGAAAGATCAATCTTTGATGTACTTATCACAAAAGTATCATTTGTGTAAATCTGGCAGCCAGGCGCAGATATGATGTGCTGTTCATATATGCCTTTAGGAGCTGATATGTAAACACCAGTCATATGGGTGAATTTTCTGTCAAGAGGCAGCATGCATATCATTATTGTAGTCAAGAAGCAAAGTTATACAATCAGTAGATGTTCAGTACACTGCTTATTTTTTTGGTTAATCAACTTCATGTTAACAAAGAGAAGATTGTGAATGAAAAAGTGACTATTAGTTTATTCTGTACTTTTTAGAATTGGGAAGTTTGTTGAGCTCAAACAGGCTGACATCAAGGCACTAGAAGGCAACAAGTAGAGATGACACGAGTTCTTTTGATGACGACATTGGAATTAATGTGGATAAGCACATCTTCGTCCAAAGATGGCAGCAGTCCTTCTGAGAATCACAATACATGAGCTGCTACTCAACTCAGAATGCATGTGAATGTTCTGGATGTCCATTGGCGGTGGTGTGGCTGATGGGCAAGTGCGACACACGTACTTTTGCCTTGAAGAACTTGTGAACTACTTCGCTGACGAATCTCCACATCAGATAAAACAGCAGAACCTCCAAGTCCACGATGCAGCAGTCGTTTGGTGCGGATGAAACATTGTCAAGTAGCTGAACTCCTGATGGCATATACTTTGTATATATCAATGTAAATCGCCATGGTCTTGTGCGAGGACATGAACCATTTGTTCAACAGTTAGACAATAATAATTGATGGCAGACGAGTTATATTTGGCCAAATTGCACTGTAGCTTGTTTGCTGAGCATTTTTTAAATTCTTTACTGACCAGTAATTTATTCCTTTTGCTAAAAAAAACCCAGTAATTTATTCCTGTAAATAGAAACGGTGCTGTGCCCGTTCGTTAAAAAGGAAAGACAGGGAAGGCTCCCCCAACAAGCCCAGCGGCCCAGGCGCCCAGCGCGCCTCAACTCAATTAAAAACACAAACGGAAACCACAACCCCAGCAACACGCCTGACGGCTGACACCGCCTCCAGCTTGCCCGGCCGGCGGCGGCTATGCGGCTCCGCCCTCCGTCCCCTAGTCCGTCTCGATCCCCTCCTTCCTGTAGTGCTAGAACTAGAATCCCCTTCGGTCTCGGCGTCTCGCCGTCGTCCTCGAAATAGAGAATAAATACCGCTTCCAAAAAAGATCAGGAAGAAAGACGAATAGCAAGAGATCGATCGACGGATCCATCCAACATTCCGTCCATCCATGGGTGACACAGAAGAGCCCATGTATAGTTTGCTAGAGGTCTCCTTGCACCCGCCTGAATGGAACGAAGCCGGCGGTGAAATCCATTGGGTGCTCCTCGACAACCAGGCCTACGTCGCTGAACGCCACAACGCCACAACGCCACAACTGCCTTCTCTGAGACATGACGCGGGGAGAGGATCCAGGTCACCCTCTGCCTCGCCCGCCCGCCGCGCGTCTCCCACCTGTGCGTCTTCTGCCCTGGAATGGCACACACCGTGTTCCCGTTGGAGCCGCACATCCTCGCCATGGAGGAGGACATCCTCCTCCTTCGCATCATCGTCAGTTCTAAACGTTGGCACATCTTCCAGGATGCGGACTACTACATCTACCAGGCTACCGACGAGGCCGCGGGCGGGGGGCCATCACTCAAGCGGCTCCCGCGGCTGCAGAAGTTCCGTAGCCCCTATGAGTTTGATTCAGATCAAGTTGGCATTCTGCGCTGCGGCGCCCGCCACCAACGGCGCTACAACGCCCTGTGCCCCCACAGCGACACCGCAGGTGATTTCTATATTGTCGCCGCACTCTGTAGGGCGCCCAATTCCGTGGTCGCTGGAGAGTTTGTCATTTGTCTATACAACTCCAATTCTCCAACCATCTGGATTACCCACAAAATCTCAGTGGACGAAAACCAACATCGACTCCAATATGGCTGCCACTTCGAGCATTACAACAGCAAGGTCATCTCAATAGGAGGAGATTCTGGCACCATGGGCTTCGTTGACCTCTGGCGGGGTATCCTCTTCTGTGATGTGCTCAAGCTTCAGCGAGGCAAAACCACCCCTCCTTTTCGTTACGTAACTTTGCCACCGCCACTCCTTCCAGGCAGGGCGAATAGGGGTGACGCACGGCTCGCTCGGGACATCGCCATAGTCCAACAAGGTCGCACCTAAATGCGTCGAGCTGCAGCTTCACTGGAAGCCTTACCCAACATTTAGGGGTCAGTATATCAGGGATGGTTGGATGTCCAGGATATGGACAAGGCCGGTGGATGCTGATTGTGCTGAGGACTGTTGGAAACCGGGCTGTAAGCAAGAGTCTTCTGATATCCCTGTTGACAGTAACCCACATTTTAAGCTACTGCCTAAGATACTGGACCATAGTGGCATGACTGTGAAACCATTCAAGGGACTCTTCGTATGTCAACCCACACTCAGTTTGATGATGATGATGATCTTGTTTACTTCATGACCAAGGGGAAGAGCATGGATGGCAAGGCTTGGGTGATTGCTGTTGACATGAAGAACAACACATTACAAGGAGTGGATGAGTTTGTTGCGGAAAGGACTATCGGCGTGGATTTTGGCTATATGCACAGTAGGATATCCAAATATCTGACAGCAACCCCAGGTAATCATGTTCGAGCAATGCAACCCTCATCCCATGGTTACTTCTACAAATCTTTTGGTTCTGTTATTGCATTGTCCCAGTATAATCGCAAATCGCCTGCTAAACTAGTTTGGTCCATATACTCGCTGATGAGTGGGTGATGGGTGTCCAAATGCCATGTCCACTCCAGGCCACAAATTCAGACAAGGTCGATCGTTTGCAACAGATGTGATTGTGTTGTCCCAGTGAGGCATTGACCAGTGTTGCATCAGTCCCATTTGTTTTAGGTAGATAACTGCCGGCCCAGTGTGTGTCGCCTCTGCTGCGCGCACGTGGTCGAGCTCGCCGTCGCCTTATCATTAATGACACTGCGGCCACGCGGGCCACGCCGGTCGGGCGCGCGCGCGCCTGTCAGCTAGCGCCGGCGCGTGGGTCTCCCGATCTCGCCGCTCGCGTCCCGCCAAGGCAAGGACGAGCCGAGCCCACCTGCCGCGCCCCATCTCTCTTTCTCTCTTTCTTCCTCTGCTTTCCGCCGCCGTCGGGTCACGGTCACGGTGAGTCAGAGAGCGAGCACCTCTCATCAATTCCTCGTGCCCGCGTCTCCGCCTTTACGTCCTCTTGCCGACCGCCCCCACCCCGCCTAGATTACGGCCAGGACGAGCTCCAATTTTGGAGCTTTGCTCCTGCCGCCGCGCCATTAAGGCCCAACCCGCATCATCGTGGCCAGCTCCAACCTCATCATCTCGTGTCGAATTGACCGCATCACTAGCCTCACCTAGAACCCCTCTCCGTTGTGCGCACGCTAGTCGCAGCCCTAGTGTCGCCTCCACGCCGCTGACACGGCCGTGTCGCTGCGGTTCGCCGTCGAGCTCGCCGCGCGCACGCGGCCAGACTTGCTCGGGGCGTCTCTGGCCAGGACACCGCCACGGGTAGGATCGTGGTGCGTCACTGATGCTTACCCATCACCTCTATTATCTATTGCCGCCGCCGGGGAGAGCCCGCTCTGCTTCACCCCCGTTCGTGCAACCACCGCCCATCGTCGCGCATCGGCCCATAGGTGAGCATCGGTCCCCTAGCTAGGTCTATACTTGGCCATCGGGCCGGCCCGGCTCGGCACGGCCCGGGCACGGGCCAGGCATGGCCCGGAGGATGTCGGGCCGACACGACACGCCGTGCCTCCCGTGCCGTGCCGCTGCGGGCCTCGTGCCTTGCCATAAGCCCAAGCACGGGCCTGTGGGCCTAAATTCGTGCCGTGCCGGCCTGCTAGGCACGGCCAAATCACCAAGCCATGCTAGCCCGAGGCCTATAGGGTTCAAAACACATCAAAAATTCATCTCAACAAGAAGTATTCAAATTTGAAGTATTTTTTTCCCAGAAGAGCTTCAAACCAAAACCAAAACCATACACACAGAGAACAAGAGGAAATTAAAAGGATGACCGCCTCTCTAGCCCCGTTCCTCGACGGTGCGGGTGGCCGCCTTGCTCGCTCTAAGCCGCAGCTAGAAGACGATGCATCGGCTACCGACCTGCGAAACAATGGAAGAAGAAATCAGAAGCATACATTGAAAGAAAAAGAAGAAATTAGAACATGGTTGGGGGTTGGGGTTAGGGTTTCACTGCTTGGCCGAGAGCCCGATCTTGGGAGAAGACGACGAGCACCCAGAGTCCAAAGAAGACAACACTTAGTCAGCAACGACGGTAGACGACGGAGGAGGGACAAACAGAGACAACCAACTCACATAATCAACGAGATCTAGAGGGGAGATAGGGAGAGGGAGAAGGGAGAGGCAGGGACGGAGGGGAGGACGCCGGCGGGAGGCGGATCGTGGTCACCGAAGTCGGCGTCGGAGACGGCGAGAAGGCGCCACCTGCCACCCGCTGCGTTTGAGAGCGCGGCTTGGCCTTGTGGTGGTGGTGGTGGGATGTGAATGGGCGAATGGGGAATTGGGGATTAGGGTTAGATTCTGGCGGGAGTGCGGGCGGGGACCGAGGGAGGCCGGGGGGGCGCCGCGATCGGCCGCCTTTTTATAGGTGGGGTGCAGGGTGGCGGCGTGGGGGAGCTGATTCATGAGCTAGGCCACCTCCCTCTTGGGCCGCTGCCGGGCCTCCTCAAAACCTCGTCGGGCCGTGCCACCCATGGGCTCAATCGCGGCCCGCAGCGACACTGGGTGGCTGCGTGGCCGGGCCAGCCTGAGCCCGTTGGCCTAGGGGCCGGGCCGTGCTCGTGTCGGGCCAAAAGGCCGGGCTTTGGGTCGGGCTGCATGGCCAGGTATAGCTAGGTCTACAAGGGTCTCGGGTGGCCGGCGTACCGCCTAGTGCCACCGCCTGCCGCGCCGGCGAGCGCGGGGCGTCTCGGGGACCTCTCCGGTGTGAAGGTGAAAAGATACGAGGGCTCCGTTGCAAAGTCGTTGTCTATAGAAATATTACGTGTAGTGTTCGCGCTATTGTCTGATAACGCGAGGGCGTTTTTGCAGGAGTGCCAGCGCGCGCGGGCTCCCCGCCACGGGCCACCTCCGCACGTGGGTCGCGTTGGGCCGAAATCGGTTTATCTTTTTTGTGGAAAATAGAAATAACTTTTCATTTTAATTCTGAGCTAAACTTTGGTAATTAATATAAAATAATATAGATATCCAAAAATTATGAAGCAACTTTTGTGAGGTTTCTAAAATTATGCTCTATCTGTTAGTGTATTTAGTTCATATATATGTTGGTTGATACCATGAGCTATTAAATCATTTGAGAGTGCCCAATATTATTAAGTTAACTATTGTATGAATTTTTGTGGTAGATTGGTGATAGCAAAACCCTGAAATTTTTATAGTAGCTTCATTGTATTATTATGTGCTCACTGTAATTTTTGTAGCCCTAAAATAGACTATTTAATATGGTAGCTAAATACCCATTAAGGCTAAATGAATAATGGCATGATATTGGTTTTTAAAAAAATAATCACTTGTAGGGTGAGCTTGGAATCTATTTGGTAGAGATAATGATTAGTTTAGTATCTTAGTCATTAGAGCTAGCTTAGTAGCTTAGCATGTGTATTCTTATTTTAAGAGTTGCTGTTGCCAAAATACTAAGTGTTGCATCATCGTTGCATGCATGTAGAGAACGAGTTGGTGGAGTTCGCGACCGCCGAAGAGCATGAGTACGAGGAGGTGATCGAGAAGTACGAGGAGGAGGTCCTTGTGTAGGAGGAGGTCTCGGAGCCATCACCGACTGACTTAGCTAACAATCCGCCTGCCCAAGGCAAGCCCCGATACATAACCCTTATTTTGAATAATCACTGTATATATATGTGTGATGTGCATTTACGTTACATGATTTATATTGAAACTACATGCATAGATAAACCTACCTATGAGTCCTACTAGCATAGATTAAGTAGTTGCTATGCTTGGACTATCAGTAGCGTGAGTAACCTGCCATTACTCACAATAGGTGGTTATTATTATTATTCTCATGATAAAATGGTGAAAGGAAATAGAGACCGGACAGGGATATCGTACGGGTATTGATGGGTGTAATATGTTGTGTCCCGCGGCCAACGGGACATAACTTGGTTACACTGTTTTCCCTATCCATGTCGGTTAAGGACCGTCCGTTGCTGTGGATTCTAGTCAGGTCACAGACTTAATATCCTGAGCACATACTTGCTTATGGGAGCGGAAAGACTCGTTGCTCTCTTGTCGTGGGTTTCGTCTCTTTCCGAACCGAATGATTGGAGGCGGGGATGGTAGAGGTCTAAGCACCACATTGAGTCCAGGACTCAGGAATGGGGGCTTGGAGTCCAAGTTTGGACGGGACCTAGACCCCTTGACAGGAGAGTGATGGGTTGGTCTTGCTTGTGCCTAGGGTACAGGCGGGGCGTGTGTTTCGGGGTACCCAGCTGGGATACATTGGTTCACGAATCGCTGTGTGATACAGTATGACTTGTCTATGATATAGCACCGTAGTAAGAACTGGAAGATGAAAGGGAGTGAATAGATCTAATTGCTCAACTCTTGCTTGAAAGTAGAACATGTGCTTACATAGAATAATTAGCTAATGAACTAATCATGACTGCTAATAAAACACATACATAAGGATTCACTACTAGTAATGCTTTTCGCAAATAAAAAGGAAACCTAGCAAACCATAAAGCTTATCATATCCTTTAGAGTCGGAAAATTATTCCCACTAGTCGGGTAAGTCTTACGAGTATATTGTGTATTCAGGGTTTATTTACCCCTGTTGCAGGTGCAGCTTGAGGAGTGGCTGTTGTGTGAAGGATTCTTTTGATGGGCACAGACGGATCCTTGTATCTTATCGTTAGATATTTATTTCAATTCCGTTGTTTAAATTCCGCACTCTGAACTTGGTATTGTAATAATGTATTTCCGAGAACTCTTGTTGTATGAAATGGACTAAGTATTGTAAACTCGTTCTCATTATTGGATCCTGAATGAAAAACGTGGATTATTTGAGTTTTCCCTTGGGTTGTGCTCAACGGGACCGTTCGATGGAGCTTACTTTCGGGGTGCTTAGCGTCTAATGGAAGACGAGCGCCTCCGGAAGCGTGCTATTTTGGGCGGTTCTGCCACAATGTCCTTGATGGAAAAACCGAATGGATCAAACTCAACAGTCACATTGTTATCATGGATGAGAGAACGAACAGAAACAAGATTCTTCACCAATGAAGGAGACACAAGAATATTGTTGAAGAAGGGGAGATCGGGCAGTGGCAATGGCAGAAAAAGCACGATGTGTGAGAGGTAAGGTGTCGCCATTACCAACTGTGATGGGTGCTGAATGAGAAAGGGGTTGGGAAGAAGAGAAAGTACCAGCATTAGACGCCATGTGGGATGTTGCGCCGGTGTCAAGGAAAAACTTGGTGGTCTGGGGTCCGCTCGGTGGAACGCCGGACGTGGCCAGTGCGGCGAGCAGAGCCTAGTGATTCCAGACGTCAGTCGTCGGAGACGGCTGCTGGAATGGAGCAGGAGGTGGTGGCAGCTGGCCGACAAAGTACGCCTACTGAGGTGGCGCGCCGGGCCGTGTACCGAGAATGCCGGCGCCTGGAACCCAGAAGGGCATGGGCCATGCCTGGACCATCCCTGTCCATGGATTGACGCCAAGTGCCCAGCCTTGGGGAGCTCGGAGCTGCTGAGTGGAGGTGGAACCGGCCTGATTCTGGTAACCGCCGCGGCCACGTCCACGTCCACGACCGTGCTTGCCATCCGCACGTGGAGCTGAGGTGTGGGCAACCGCCGGAGGCTGCGGGGCGGGAGGCTGAGCACCCTGACCAGCGCTGGAACTGTCGTCACTGGCAGGTGGAGCAGGAGGCCGAGGACTGCTGGCGGCAAGAAGAGCATGCTGCGCGGCGGAGTTGGCGTGTTCCTTGTCGTATTGCTCCTCCAGGAGCAAGTAGGAGAGGGCGGAGAGGAAGGTGTGCGGTGGGTCCTTGGCGGTGATCATCGGGACGGTGTGGCGGTACTTGGGGGAGAGACCACGGAGCATGTTGAGCACCTGGGACGTCTCACGCACAGGTTGCCCGACGTCGCGCAAGGCGTCAGCGAGCTGCTTCAGCTTGCCGGTGTACGTCTTGATGTCCATGTCGCCTTGGACCAAGCTCCAGAACTCGGCCTCAAGGTAGACGGCGCGGTGAAGCTCATGATCCCGGAACTGATCATGGATCGCGTTCCAGATGATGTAGGCCGTGGCCTTGGGAGCGCGGACCATGGCGCGAACATCCTTGGACACAGAGTTATAGATCCAACTCAAGATGCACTGGTCCACCATGGCCCAGTTGGGATCGCGGCGGTTGGCGGCGGTGGGAGGAGTGGTGAGATGAAAGCCGATGCCGAACTTGCCGACGAACGCGTCGAAGAAGCACCGCCATTCAGTGTAATTGGACTCGGCGATGTCAAGCTCGATGGGAACGTGGGATTTGATGTTGACGGCCTACATGACGTTGGCGAGAGCGGCGCGGCGGATGCGGTATAGGACTCGCCGGCATCAAGAGAAGAGGTGGAGGAGGAGTCGGCGTCAGAGACGTCGGCGTCGTTGAGGGGGTTGGCATCCATGGCAGAAGATCGCGGCGAGGGCGAGGGGAAAAGAGGCAGCGGAAAAGGAGGAACGGCCGTGGTGGCGAGCACGGAGGGTGCGGCGCGGCAAGCGCGGAGGGAGAGCTGATAGGCGAGGAGCGGCAGTTGCGAGAGAGCAGGCGGATCAACCCGCGCAAGCTGATACCATGCAGAAGAATGTGAGCCAACAACATCTCGTATTGCTCTGTGTTGTGTACATATACATGTTACATGAGTCAGCGCTGTGCGCGCACGGACGGAGCGTGGGCGACGTCGTGGCCACCTCACGGTCAAGCTAGCGCTAACCACCTGAAACTATGTCAGTTACAACACATGTGTTCAACAGCTAGTTATCTACAGGATGTTGCCCATGCGCCCCGTTGCGAAGCCTGAACCAAAATAGGGGGGGGGGGCAATTTGCCAATTGAAACCATATATACATAGATCGTAGTCATTGAGAAATTAGTCTTAGTACATATAATTAGCTAGGTTACAGTAAAGCATCTAAATTATCTCAAAAAAGCATCAGAAGATCTCAATGAACAACAAAATATTACTTAATCAGTTACTTCTAGTATGCATAGCCTGTACATTTTACAGATTGAAGAATTTGGAAAAAAAAAATAGAAGAATCAATAAGAACGAACGTACCTGTATGGCTGTGTGGGTGCCGTGCTGTCGCCCGGCTGCGGCGCTGGTGGCGGGGCCGCCAGACCGGGGTTGACATTCGCCGGCGGCCGCCCCGGTCGCTGTGGTCGCGGTCGCGGACGCCGGCACACCGCGACTCGGACCCTCGGAGACTCCGATTCGGAGTCGGCGACGGAGATGCGGACAGGGACGAGCGTCGAGCGGTGGTGACTGCGACTTTGGGAAGAGTCACGGTGCGGAGAGCTGGAGCTAGCACCTGGGATATGGCCTTGGGCTGGGCCGTCAGCTGTGAACAGTATATGGACCTTAGAAAATTCCCAGAGCCAAGGGGGGGCCATGGCCCACTATGGCCCCCATGAAGCTCCGCCAGCATGCGCCATTTCCTAGAGGAGGATGTCTTGCGTGATTGTGTTTGCTATCTGTGTGGGAGTTTATTCTCTTTGAAACAGTTGCTATGACTTTTTTTTTATGCTCTAGAGCTGTTAAATGAGAAATATCCTCTTCACATTTTTGTCATTAATTTATTCACTGTTGACATAGCTGGGTTCAAAATGCACAGCAACGAACAAAACCTGCTTGCAGGGCAAATTATATGCTTGAATTATTGTGACTAGTCCACATTTTATTTGCACAACCTAGTGCGTTAGTGAAATACTGTAATCGGAAAATTTGTAGTACTACTGAATAAAATAAAATGATACGGAGTACTAGTTAGTTAGTTCGATTGTCTTGTTATAGTGTTATACGTGCTATATAGCACGCACGTTACTGCTGGATACAAGCAAAGATTGAAACTACAACTCCATCGATCTGTTGGACTACAGGAGGCCCTGATGTGATGACCAACAGAATGTGGGAGATAGTAGACGTCCGCGATGTGGCCGATGCTCTGCTCCTGTTGTACGAGAATGATCAGTCATCAGGGAGATACATTTGCTCGCCGAATCGCGTTTGCACGAGGGATTTGGTGGACCTGTTGAAGAAGATGATTACGTAAATAAGTAGGCTCTCTTTGTCTTGTATAATTGAATTCGTCAGTACCAACTAGGTAGTAATATAATCCATGTTGCTTGCTTACATAATCTGATGTGATGAACATCACCTTTAATCAATTTGTTGTTGCAGCGTTGTGGATGCTGATCATGCAGGACCACCTTTATCTAGTCAGAAGCTGAGGGATATGGGTTGGGAACCAAGGAAGCTGGAATCGACGCTCTCAGACAGCGTCCAGTCATATGAAAAGGCAGGCCGTCTCCAGGATGTACCTGGGAATCCTTGCCGCTTCCCGTTTCTCATTCGTGCGTGGCTGTAGAGAACACATTGAACCACATGTTGCTCCCGTTTACAAAGTTCGCCCACAGAATGTTAGCTGCTTTGTCCTTTATGCATGTTGGCTACTATGTCGCTAATAAAGAAAACCAGAGAAGCAGCTCCGAAGTAGCAAACGAACGATGGTGACTCAAGCCGCTGTCCCTTGTGGTGTACGTACGTCATCGGAAGCCTAGTAGATTGAAGCTGTCTTGTGGTAGATTGTTTTTTGTAATCGATAGAGTAGTAGGTTATGTTTTGTAATGATTAAAGCAAATCATTACGGCCAATGGTCTCATATATATGCTTCTTTCTGCATGTGCAGTTTGACCAGAGCAACGGAAGCTCTCGCCTTCGCCGAACCAAATTCCAACTTTCACCCTTCCAGATTTTGGTCATATGTACACCCTCCCAAGAAACCGATCCGAAGCGCTGACGCATCGACGAAGTTGCGCGTGCGGCGTGCCCATCCCGGCAGCTTTCGCCACCCTCATCTAGATTCTAGATAGCACACATCGTCTTGCTATAAAAAGAGGCATCATAGAAAGCTCCTGCAGCTCCATAAGAACTTCAGAACCTACTCTGAACTTCTTCGTGGTCCTCCTGTTGCCTTCTTCAGTTCTTCCTTCCTTCCTTCTACTCCACCAAATTACCAAGCACAAATTAACCACGCCGCAACCAATGCAGGAGGCCGTGGAGGACATCGTCATCGCCGGCGCGGGCCTCGCTGGCCTCGCGACGGCTCTCGGGTTACACAGGCAAGCACGCTACTAGCTACTCCCCTGCACAATTCAGCAATCTGATGGCCTGTCTTGTTAGCGGCCGTTGCTGTCCTCCGGGCTCCGGCCACGGCCAGTGGTGGCCAGTGTAGAAGCATGCATGCCGATTGCCGAGCTGACGGACGGGGCTGGTGGTCTCGTGTCGTGCAGGAAAGGGGTGCGGTGCCTGGTTCTGGAATCGTCGCCGGCGCTGCGCGCGTCGGGGTTCGCGTTCACCACGTGGACCAACGCCTTCCGCGCCCTCGATGCCCTCGGCGTTGGAGACAAGATCCGGGAGCACCATTTGCTCTACGAGCGGTGAGCCAGCAATCATTGCCGCTTCTGGCCTTGCTAGTAGTACTCATTCTCTGAAAAAATGGCAACCAAACTGTGCTGCTCCTTTCTGGGCTCTCTTGGTCTTGGGCTACATAACCTTGGGCTTTCATGGGCCGGACTTACTGTGGACCAACATCACTACGAGAACAAGCCCATTTTTTTGGCGGCTCATTAACTAGCCCAATCCTGAAACTATAAATTGCAAGCCCACCTGCACACTTCACTTGTCTCACTTTTTTTTGTTTTTGACAATGACAGGATGATTGCCTTCTCTGCAGCTACTGGTGAAGCTGCTGCAGAAGTAAGCTTAAAGATTCAGGGCAAAAGGTACTTAAAACTTCCAATCTGAGTACGCTTCACTTGGTTCTGTACTTCTGTGTGTGCATAATCTTACAACTACTACGAGCAGATAACTGACCAATCTCTGCACAATTTGACTGTCGCATTCGCATCACACCAGCGGGCCACACGAAATCCGGTGCGTGAAGCGGGACTTCCTGCTGCAGACGCTCGCGAACGAGCTGCCCGAGGGCACCATCAGGTACTCGTCCAAGCTTGCCGCCATGGAGGAAGACGGCCGCGTGAAGACCCTGCACTTGGCAGATGGTTCCATCATAAAGGCCAAGGTCGTGATAGGGTGCGACGGCGTGAACTCGGTGGTGGCGAAATGGCTGGGCCTCCCGAAGCCAATCCTCTCGGGCCGCTCGGCCACCAGGGGCCTCGCCGAGTACCCGGCGGGCCACGGCTTCGGCCCGGAGATCCTGCAGTTCATCGGCCACGGCTTCCGCTCCGGCGTGCTGCCCTGCTCCGACACCTCCGTCTACTGGAACTACACCTGGTACCCTTCCCCAGCAGACGGGGACGCCGAGGAGAGCGTGGCCAAGATGCGGAGCCACGTGGTGGCCAAGCTGCGGGGCGCCAAGATCCCCGCGGAGGCGCTGGAGGTGATCGAGCGGAGCGAGATGAGCGACGTGGCGTCGTCGCCGCTGCGGTTCCGGTCCCCGCTGGCGCTGGTCCGCGGCAGCATCAGCCGGGGCGGCGTGTGCGTGGCGGGCGACGCGCTGCACCCGATGACGCCGGAGCTCGGGCAGGGCGGGTGCGCGGCGCTCGAGGACGGCGTCGTCGTGGCCCGGTGCCTGGGCGAGGCCTTGGCCATCGCCCGTGGCGGCAGCCACGACCAGGATCAGGAGGGGCCGCGGGTCAAGGCGGCGCTGGCGAAGTACGCGGAGGCGAGGCGGTGGCGCAGCATCCAGCTGATCACGGCCGCCTACGTCGTCGGCTTCATCCAGCAGAGCAACAACGCCGTGGTCAGGTTCGTCAGGGACAAGTTCCTGTCTGGATTGCTCGCCAAGACGCTAGTCGCCATGGCGGACTACGACTGTGGCACGCTATGATTCTGTGATCTGACCCTTGGAGGATGGGCTGCAAGAAATAAAATAAAAACGGTGAAGAATCACATGGAACAAACTTTTGATCGAACTACGGTGATGTACGGTGTGCTGCTACGTAGTACACTCGTTTTAGAGGAAATAATAAATAGTAATAAATCGGTAGTGTCAACCGTTTGACCTGTGACCGAATGAAAGGAGTTTTCGTGGTTCCCATGGGGCAACAGAAACTGCCATAGCCACATGCTGCGATTAATGAAGCCAACATGTACTGTGCAGATCGATGGGCGGGGATTAACAAACCGGTTTGACCACAAGTCGCTTCATCCGCAATCGGGGATCTTCTCGCGCGCTCACGGTCACAAGCAGTTTGCCCTCTGCCGTGCCAAGTGTGAAGAACCCTTGGTCTTTATCGTTAGCCGACAAAGAACATGCGTGCGTGCATCATTCATGGCGCCATGGCCTCGTCAGGGCGTGGATCCAACGATGGCTTGGCCTACATATGGACCTCTGACCCAGGGAAAAAATGGTTGCAAAAATCAGGTTGTACGTACATTTCATCTAATCTTGACTCTACCGCGAAACTCGTCGCATGATTCATCATAGGTACAACGTCTCCTGAAAGAGAAGAGGTCACCTCAACATTCACGGGAGAGCTAGAGTAGACTCGATCAGTTGTTTCAAGAAAGATAGAGTTCATGGATAAATCTACTAATCTAGGATCACGGACCTAATAAGAATTGGTTATTGTTGCTCTTTCTAATTTGTTTAAATCCTAGATATTTTTACCAATCTATTCGCAAAAAAAAGAAGATATTTTTACCAATACACTCGTAATATACTTTATAGAAAAAAAAACATTGCACTCCTTTAGAACAGATAACCCCTGAACTACTTTTTTCTACTCAATCTACCCCTCTAGCACTTTCAGTTAGTCCAATGTACCCTTTACTAAGATTTCTCCTTTTTTTTCTCCATGCATCGGTTGAGTTTTAAGTTCAAATTTTATAGGGTGATAGAGCATCACAATTTATTTTTAAAATGCATCATGAAATTTTATCATTTTTTATAGCTTAGATATCTAATAATAAATTAATCTTTTATATACAAAAATGAAAACTAGTGATGAAAAATCATCATAAGTTATGATATTCTATATCACCTAAAAAATAAACTTAGGACTCAACTTGTACATAGAGAAATAAAAAACAAAATCTTATTAAGTGATAAACTGGAGCAACTAAAACATTCGGAGGGGTAAATGGAACACAAGATTAGTTTATAAGGTTACCTGGACATTTTCCTAGGGGTGGGGTTGTAGGATCTCTGGTTGGCCTAAAGGGGGGTTGAATAGGTCTGTCAAAACAAACATTTAAACTTTTATTAAATTCACCCAGCGGCACTGTCGGGCCAGAACAGCGGCACTGCCGCACCTGCAGACAACTTCGAACCACAGTTCAAAATCCGTGAACGAAAACTTAGATCGAAGAAATTTCCTAACTTACTGCAGGTATGACAATCACATATCAAGAGCTAGAAATGGTAGCAACACCACACACAAGTAGATCGACTAGAAACCCTAGTAATCACCCCAACCAACAATATGAAATGCAAGTAATGTAAATCAAGCACAAGTGACACAATGATTTATCCCGTGATTTGGCTCGCCACCAAGTCTTGCTTACCTCCACGTTGTTGAGGTTAGCAACTAAGGCTTAGGGCTTTTCAACCCTTCCTCGGTCTCAAGTCAAGATACTTAACTCTTAAGATGAGGGGTGAGTTTACTAGATTCAAGAGATGGTTACAAACCTCCCGAGGCTGCCACATAAGTTGGCAAGCTCCATGGGCGACGCTCTAGCCACTAGAAGCCAAGCTCCAAGAGCAACAAACACAAACACCGGCCAAAACGTGAACCAAGTGCTCTTTAGAGTTGGGGAATCAATGGAGCTGCTCTCTAATCGAGTTTTGGACCCTTCTCTCTCAAGGATTGATGGGGAAATCAATAGATTTACTTGGGGGCTTGAGGTCAATAATGGAGGGAGAGAGAGCTCCTGCTCTGTTTTGGACGTGCTGAAGTGAGAAAGAAGAGGCAGAGAGCCGTTGGAGAGGAAGGAAAAAGGTATATATATACCCTTCAGCCCCCAACGGTCACCGCACCTAAGGGGTCGGGCGAGACGAAGCCCGCGGCCTCGAGGTCGGGCGAGACGGAGCCCGTGGCATCGAAGTCGGGCGAGACGGAGCCTGTGACTTTGGACGAGACAGAACCCGGGTCCTTGGGGTCGAGCGAGACGAAGCCCACACCCAAGGGGTCGGGCGAGACGTAGCCCGCAGCCTCGAGGTCGGGCGAGACGGAGCTTGCGGCCTCAAGATCGGGTGAGACGGAGGCCGCTACCTTGGGGTCGGGCGAGACCTTTTAATACGTCTCGAGCCATTTGGGGAAATTAGCGTGGGCGCTAATTTCCTTGTACCGCGACTCAAGTGCGGCAGTGCCTCTCTTCAAGTGCGACAGTGCCGCACCACGC